CGTAAGAAGTAAGGGTCTTATTTCGCCACCCAAGTTTAGAACGTCAATCTTCAAACGGAGCTTCACATACCAAATATATAAAGTCTACAACTCAGTCCGGAAGGAACTAAAATTTTCTAGAATAGATAACTTCAAAGCCATGTTTAAAAAGGAACTGCTGAAAAAACAGTAGCACCGCATGAATGAATGAATGATTGTTTTTTTTTTGTTAGCGTGTAGGTATGTCCCTCTTTTATAGTAACATGTATGTATTATCGGTTTATCGGATGTCATATGTCGTAGAGGATACTGGGCTAAGTGGAAGAGCAGGTTGTTGGTACTGTGTACTAATCAAACTGAACTTCGCCTTTTATTGACACTGGATGTACTTATGTTCACTTACCATTTTGTCAATGTCTTATGTCAATAATAAAGACGGTTATTATATTATTATTATTATTATTATATATGATTTTTCTGATTGGAAATGACCCCCTGTACTCCCTTCTCTTTTGATCTGCATATTGTGACCTTAGGGACACCCCTAATTCTTTATTGTATAATTACCTATTTCCCTGTTTCAAGATTTTAACTGGTAGTGGAGATTCTACATGTGCACTTTGGGACGTAGAATCTGGCCAGCTATTACAAAGTTTTCACGGTCACTGTGCTGATGTCATGTCTATAGATTTGGCACCATCAGAAACTGGAAACACATTCGTTTCAGGGGTAAATATAATGCTTTTGGAATACAGATTGCTGAAGTTTTCTACTGATTTTTGCAAATTTTTGGGAGTTTAATATTCTTATGTTCTAAAACGGATTTTCTTTATTTTTTAGAGTTGCGACAAGATGGTATTGATATGGGATATGCGTACTGGTCAGTGCGTCCAGTCTTTCGAGGGCCATGAATCGGACGTAAACAGTGTCAAATTCCATCCTAGTGGTGATGCTGTTGCTACAGGCAGCGATGATGCCACTGTAAGTAGTTGACATTAGATTTAAAAAACCTTCAACTTTATATGGTATTTTTTCTCAAGACTCCTAACTATGTCTTTATACTGTTATAGTGCAGGCTGTTTGATTTGAGAGCTGATAAAGAAATTGCTGTTTATAGCAAAGAAAGCATAATTTTTGGGGCGAATTCTGTAGACTTCTCAGTTTCTGGTATGTATAATTACTAATTGTGATTTTGATTACCATTACGTGCTGTATGTTTCCACCTCTTTGCACTTTCTCCGCGTATCACATCATCATCATATTGTCAATGCGGGTGATTCCCAGGGATTGGATCTTATAGCATATCACCAAAACTTCATAAATAAATTTCTAAATTGGGATATTTTGCTTTTTGATGTTATATGTCAAGTACATCACGAAAAAGCATGCAACTCATTTTCTTCGGTCTGCCCGCTAATCTTTTGACCGTCTATAATTTGGAGAGTAACTCTCGGATTTGGATAAAATCGGTACAGTGGCGGCAGGGCAGGGAAATAATGTCTGTGGACTAATTGTACGGGCCTGTTTAACTGGCATAATCCGTTTAGTTTCCCTATTGTACATGCTCCTAACTATTTTTTTTCTCAGGGAGCTTTAACTTTGTGCTGAACTTAATCCTTTGTGAACTGATGACAAGCGCTGCGTCGAAAGTGCAGAGTTAACCTACTTGACGCCATTTTCCCATGAATTTAACGTTTATTAAAAAAAATTCAACCAATCTTAATAAACAGATCAAAAATGCCGTTTGTGACCTTAAAAGGATTGCCCATCACAAAATAATATAAACATTGAGTAGTTTTATGTCATATACAGTTATTGATATAATCTGAAAATACGTGTGTACTTATAGGACGACTACTATTCGCTGGTTACAACGACTATACAGTGAACGTTTGGGACACTTTGAAATGCGCTAGGGTGTGTCTCCTTTATGGGCACGAGAACCGAGTGTCATGCTTGCGTGTATCACCTGACGGCACGGCCCTGTCTACAGGGTCATGGGACGCTACTCTTAGGGTGAGTTTTTCCTAAATAATAAAATAACGACACCCTTATTACGTGAAATATTGCAGTTCAGAACAGCAACCGTTGCTGTTAAACGGAAAATTCATACTATTTATAAGCAATTACAACTCGATCGTCAAACCTTGGTGACGGCAAATGTGAAGTTAACCTCAGGGACGTGCTGCCACTGTAGTTGTAATTGTTTAGTTGTACGTGATAAGGATGCAGCTGACAGAGGAGAGTTACGATTTGATGACGATGAAGAATAAAAATAAAGTCTTATAAAACAAACCTTACTCATATTTTTATAGTAAAAAATGTGTTTTATTAATCTTGAAACCATTTCTATTTTCAGGTTTGGGCATAAATAAATCTTGAGTCGCAAGAAAAAGGGCGTTGGTATCCTGAGATTACCCCAAGCAAAAAATAACATTTGTAGAATATTACTAGCTCATCAGAATTTACGTTTTCGATTCTTCCAAAAAGATTTCTTGTAACTTTTCCATTATTTGCAATATATGAATATGTTTTATGAATAAAACAACATTATAAGATCTACATCATGTTAGAGTTACATGGGTTAAAAAAACTCTTTCGTTGAACATCATTATTAGTTATTTTTTTAATGAATCTAGTGGCTATGAATAATTTCTCTATGTTGTACTGCATTGTGGTTACTGTATTTTTAGAACATGTATATACCTATATTATTAGATACAGAGTTATAGAATAGCTTAATACGAAGTTTATGATGCTTCTCAAAACGGTCCCTCCACCTATTTATTTTTTGAAAATATGATAATGTAATTGGTACATAAATTCATATAGAAATCCATTGTCGGGCGGAATTAAACCACATATATGTTTTAATTTCCGTTTATTGTACGACGTTGCTGCCACCGAGGTAGTGTGCTGTGAACATGAATACCACAGGATAAGTTTCAGGACTTACAGAATATTATATTTCAACATAACGGTAGTGCTTGAAATTTAAATAGGATTTTTCAAAATGGTGAACTGTCAGACTGTCAAGTCATCACAAATTTATAGCATATTCTATTGGAAACGTATATCTGAATTTTTAGTAAGATATGCGATTTCCATTTAAAAAGATTGACGGATACTGAGACTTTTTTCGTTTTAATGTTCCATAGTACATTAAATATTCGTATAGCGTCTTTCAAAAGAAGATTGATATAGTATACCATAGCGTTTTGATCCTCGGTTGTTGAGTTACATATAAGCAATTGGATGTATAAACACGTCCAACTTTGACAGTCGGCAGGTCCGCCAATTTGAATGATGGTGGATTTTTTGTATTTTAGGGTTGAAAAGTACCCAAGAAGCTGCGAAACGAGGAATTCCACGACTCGCAATTCAATTAAAAAAATGTAAAAAATGATTCGAGATGGCGCTCAGCCGCCACCTTGAAATTCTCAACCACTACTTTTTCGGTACAATATAGTATTCATGCAACAATTTTTACAACTTCTTAGTTGAAATGTGTACAAAATATAGGTAGAGGAGGTCTTCAACAAGCACTAAACATGATACATATTGTGTAGTTACTTGCTGTGATATATTCATATTCGTGTTATTTATTAAGTCATATTTGATACCCCAAAAATAAGTACCAAGTTTTGGACCAGACACTTCAAAATAACATTGCCCACAGTAGTGTTGTGTGGCATTTTCGGGAAGATATAATACGATATTTTTGTTCCAACGAGCTCTAGGTAAGACTGTAATAATTAGTCCTTTACTTGACACTGTTTTTGGGACACCTTGTATATGACGGAATAGTGTAAGATTGTAATGATGTACGAGGGACACTAGAAAAGATATCTATCTAGTCATGAAAAAACAATTGAAACGCGCAAGCATAATATGTCAAATAGTAGGATGTGTTCTAACCTCACTTGCAGAATATGAGTAAATTTTGATAATTGATTTCCAATGTATAAAGTGAATTGTGATTAAAAATAAGTCAATTAAAATTAGTCTATTGCTATGTCATAACATTTCTGACAAAAGGGGACTATCAGCCGAAAACAATTCTTGAGAGAATGATTGCCGTCTCTGGGGATGATGCATCTTCATATTGCACAATAAAATTTTGGTCTAAACAGTTTTTATGGGGGCGTGAATCCATAGATCACAGGAGTGGAAGACCCAAAACACCAACAAATGATGAAAGCACGCAAAAAGTGCACCATGGGGATGCTGAAACAGAAACAGGATCCAAGGGTCATAAAGGGTATCCAGCCCCCCAAAAAGGCATGGACGCAACCCTCTGCTAGAAAATTGATGACAACAGTATTTTGGAACGTCAGGGTAATCTTTTCATTCAGTATATGCCAAAAGGGGCAATAAATGCAAACGTCTCTGCGAACACGCTGAAAAAATTTACGTAAAGCAATCAACCAGAAAAGAGCCATTTTTTTTTTCAATCGAGAAGTGTTTCCGCTACTTGATAATGCGACCGTGCATAAGGCTGCCAAAATTAGACCAACTGTGCAGGAATGCAGCTTCCTTGAGTCAGACCACCTTCCCTATAGTCCAGACTTGGCTCCATCTCACTTTTTTATCTATTTAGATTACTAATGAAAAATCTTCGAGGACGCCGTTTTGACTTAGATGATGGCCTAAAATCAGCCGCCGACATTTTTTTTTTGAGAATCAGAGGGAAAATTTATTTAAGGGTCACTGGAGGAGAAATGGCGCAAGCGCATTGATGTAGGGGATTATATTGAAAAATGAAATTGCCAAAAAATAGTACGTCTTTTATTTCATGGTTAGGTATATTTCGTTTCTAGTATCCCTCGTAGATATAAATGTCATTGAATGTAATTTGCATGTAAATAAATATTTAAGTTGCAATGTAAACTTTTATTTACTACTACAAATCACGAGATGGCACAGATTTTACGAAATGCTAAAACATTTAAATTACATGGTCCTGTAAAAACGATTACAAAAAAGTGAAATAAAGCCATTCGATGAGAATAAATTTGCTTTCCTGTTCCAATAAATGGCCTTCATTTGATCTATCACTCATTTAATTTTTCTATTGTTTTGGGTGAAAGGAAGTCCCTTGATATTCTCCGAGTACGGACCTGTGTTTCGGACGGAACCAATGAAATACGCATGCGCTCTTCACTAATGAGTGACGTCATTGAAATGTCAACACTTGTCAAGTAGTAAGGCGTTACGTAAACTTCTAGCTCGTGACTGTTTCTCTAGCTGAAATCGCCATTTTCCTTCAAACTCTTCAGAAATAAATGCGGAACCAAACAAGATAGTTTGCATGTCGTGTGTTCCATGTCATATTTAGTGTATTGTTAAATGTTATAATATATAGAATATAAGTTCAATTCGCCAATAAAATGAAAAATTTAGTTTTGTGTGTTATCAACGTTCTATTTTTTATCCACACCGCATATTCAACGGGTAAGTAAGCAAGTGACCTGTATTTTAGTTTATAGCTTTTTATACCTAGGAACCTATCCTTTTTTTAAGCAGCCATGCCTTTTCATTCCATCTCCTAAAAGGCATACATTGTCATTTATTTCCTCAATCAATAAGACTTTCCGTAAATTTGTCCCATTTTTTGTTGCTATTATTTTGTTTATTCGTTTAAATATACTCGAGTATCATGTATGTACAACTTGGTTTCTTTATGTTAAACATAATTGAGCTCTTTTTGAAACAAATGTTAGAATGTAGAATATCATGAGGTTAGGCTATTCTGAGAATCTGTAAGTATGATTCATTATCTAATTATAGTTAATTATAGTAGATCAAGTCGATTTTCAATTAGTTAATTTGAATGTGAATAAAAAATTGGCATCTCAGTCATGTTGTGACAGCTGATGACCCATATTTAGAACAACATTTAAATAATACTTTAATTTTTTTAATTTAAATAATTATCAACAGTTTAGAGCACCTGTTTTTTCTCACAAATTATAATTATCTGTACATCCTAAACTGCACATTCCATCTGGGAAAGAATTCATTTTTAAAATATTTTATATGCATTTTTAAGCCCTTATGGGGCCCATGTGCCTCAAGGTGTAAATATGTTACTATTTTCAAATTTAAATTACTCTATTGTAGTTACAACTTTTCTAATCACTAAATCATCAATATATCTGCAAATATAGCTTTATTTCAAAGGCTAATACAAGCACTCAATTATGTATTTGTGTAGTAACAATGTCAGTTCCAATTTCTTCAGATTATCATAGCCAATCAAATTAATAATACCTTGTGTGATTAAGCCATAATTCCATCATTTCATCATGTTTAGAAGCATACAGATATGAGTAATTACAGTGAATATTTTATAATTATCTAAAACAAACTCATTCTGCTAGCTAATGCACCAGTTGTCATAAAACTATAAAAATTGAGATAATATACAATACTTTATTTAAAGAGATGATCCACTTATCTAAATGACAGCTACGCAATCATTGGGTCAATAGTACTTGTTATAGAGGCAATAAACTCAGTTTTTCAATATTTAAACATACAAGCTAATTTGCCTTCAAATTAGATAGTTCTGAAATATCTGGGGAAAACGTGGCGAAAAAGTCATCTAGGGGCCCCAGAACACATAGCAGCTTATGCAAAATTAAAATAGTACCCCCTTGAAGGGGCACATCTGTTTGATGTCAAAATAAACTGTATCTCTGAAATTTTAATTTTTATTCCAGTTCAAATCCAAGCTATAGACAAAAGTATTCATTTTTCACCTAAGGAGAACATTAAACTAGTTTGTAATGTTACATTTAGCCAAGATGATCCTACACCAGAAGTTAGATGGTAAGTTATTTTATCACAAATATAGAAGTAGGTCAGCTATTATCTTAGCATAACATTATAATAAAAGATTTTTATTGGCTAAAATACATAAATTAACCAAATGATAATTGGCCATTGACCATAGTCATTCAGCCATTAGGATTCAAGAGAAATATTTCCTTGAATAATTTTCATTTGAAAAACATTTACATGCTCCAAAGAGTATAAATTAGAGATACAGCACTTCATGTTCTGTGGAAAATATAGTAGAGTCTATCATCTCATGTCTGGATAGACTCAACTCTGAGCATAGGGAGACAGAACAAACTGCAAAGCATCTTATCCTAGACTTGCTTTCTACCTGCAGCATCGCACATGTAGATTTATTTTTTATCGTAAAAGTCAGTGAGAAGGTCCCTTTGGGTTTGACACCTATAAGTTGAGACCAAATTTTGCTTTATGAGGTATTTCGGACTGTAGCAAGCTAGTAACAATTTTAAAATCATAACTGCTTCCAGTATTTTACTGTGAAATATATATATATATATATATATATATATATATTGTGTCACATATGTATCCGCATCTACAAATAAACAGGAATATCAGAAAAACTTAATGCATACGATATACACAATTAAACAAGGGTTAACATTCACCAAAGCTAAGGTGGTTAAAAGGTATGAAAGTAGATACCCAAACTCTGTTTACAATAGTTGTATATCAGAATAAACAATACTTACAATGAACAACAATGACGTACTCAAATGTCCAAGACCAATTAACTAATTTTCTTTTTCTGCAATTTTTATGTTTTGATTGAATTTGATTTTCTACAATGGCATCTTTTGAATATTACTAGAACTAAACAATACCTTTCCAAAAGATACAACCTAGAACTAGTGAAGTTAGAAGAGTGAATTAAAATGTATACTTTTATTAACTGAGAGTGTAAAAAGATTTTTTAAGCATTAAGGAGTTTTGGAATCTCATCATCCTGAGGTGAAATAGGGGGTGAGACATTGTTTGAAGCTTTTAAATCATTCAACAGATTTACTAGAAATTTGTATGTTCTACTCAGAAATAATTCATCATTTTTTTGCATTGGGAAGTTTGTATAACTTTTTATTTTTTCAATTGATTTTATTGATAATTTGTACATTCTATAGTGCAAATAATGAAATAAGCTACATACAGTGGAAATATTGAAATATGTGACACACAGTGCAAGTACTGGAATGTGCTGTTTCAAAAATAATCCCTTAAGGGGTTGAAATCATGTTGGGTTGAGTTTCCAAAAATGTTGAGTCTCATCAATTTATTCTTTTCTGTATATGTACAAAGTTTCAGGTAGATCTATTGAAGAAATAAACAGTTATGCATAAACTTACCCCTATTTTACCCCTGTACATGATGAATTACTAAACATATTTCCTTACATGTTTTGTAGATTATCCCTACAGCAAAGTTTCTCATAAATCCATTGGAAGAATAAAAAGTTACATTCAAAATCTCTGCTAAACTACTTAATATACTTCAAAATTGTGTATTAGGGGTCCTGCACCTTACATCTTTCATTCATATTTATCTAACAAAAATCAAATTATTAAAATTCCAGTATATCTAATAAATATTGAAATTGCAGTTCCACAGTTCTTGGATCAGTTTTATTTATCACATATGTACATTAATTCACTAACCTTAATATAGAAGGAATTACGATCTAATATGCTGGTCACACCATTATTTTATTTAAAGGAGACACTTGAGGTGCAGTCAACGATCATTGGTTTACAAAACCTTAAATTGTGATAAAACTATCACAATTTAACATTAAATTTCAACAAAACACATTATACAGCATTTTTGGCAACTGCAGCTAATCAACCTGATTTTTGTAAAATTTCTATTTCGTATTTTGAAAATAATATTTTAGACAAACATTTGGAGTGGAGTGTCATTAAATAACAAAATATTTGTAAATTAGTTCATAAACTCTATCTTTTGTGGGATATGCTACAATAAAATTTGTTGTTGATGATTACATACATCTCTAATAGAATCATTCGTGCGATATGGAATTCTAGTGTGGGGTGGTCTGTACAACAATGTTTTAAAATAATTGAATATTACTCAAAAATATATTTTGAAAATAATTATAAAAAAAAGATATCGTTCATCTTTATTATTTAATGAAATATTCAATGTTAGATCCTTATTACATACTTGCTGTGTGTACAAGGTCTGTAAATTAAGTGATGAGACTGGCAACATAGCGTTCGTTCTGGCAACACAGAAGGAGGCTATTTTGAGGGTGACAATATTAAATTGTAATTATATTTGAATAAAAGAAATTAAAAAAAATCTGTCGTCACTTAATTTTCAGACCATAAAATTAAAAATGAAAATTTATATGTAAACCATAAATATAATACAAGATGAAGAAGCCATCAAGATGTTTGATACCAATGAGTCATAGAAATATTAATCAACATTATTTGACATACATGAACCCTAAAATATAGAGGGTGTTGTTTAAATACATGGATAAACTTCAGGAGGTGATTCTTTGAGTAATTTTAAGATGAAAAGTATTGTATAAACATAGGTTCAGAAATGCTTCATTTCAAGATACAGGATGTCAATTTTTTTTTAAAATTGGTTTTTCCTAAATATGTTTATAAACCTTCAGACGATTCTGTTTAATTTAGTAGTGAGCTACTTTAGCCCCAATTAGATTGAGATTCTAAATTCCAGTGCGCTACTAACTTTTTTCTTTTCCGGTACTTTCGAATTGAGCAGCTAAAAATGAAGTGCTTTTTATTCTTTATCGCAAACGAAGCGAGATATGAAAGACATTCAGGAGAAAAAAAAGTTGTAATTTTAGCTGCTTAATAAAAAAAAAATTGAAAATTGAAAAAGTGAGTGGTGCACAAGTTTAAGATAATTAGGAAAAACCGATTTTTAAAAAAATGTTTGGTATTTTGAAAATCAAGCATTTCTGGACCTATGTTTATATGAAGTTTTCATCTTAAAGTTACCCAAAGAATCACCTCCTGAAGTTTGACCACATACTTAAATAATACACTGTATAACATTCTACCCTCAAACATTAGAAACATCAGGACTAAAAAGTTTTCGAATAGCAATGTAAATTACAGATCTATCAGAAATACATCTAGTTTATGAATTTATTTTAGAATACTACTCTAAATTACTTGTTATTTACATACATTGATTATTATGTACTTCCGACTATCGTTAATGTTTACTTAAATAATTCATATAGATAAAAGTCATCATTTTGAGCTCATACAGCTATTACATTAGCTAGGTGCTTTATGGTATTTATGACTATATAAAAAATATGTTATACCACCTTTATATATATATATATATATACAGCAGACGCTCGATAATGTAAACTAATTTAATCCAAGTTATCGAAATGTTTACATTAGCGAACGTGATTTATATAATATTTGATTTATTAAAAGAAACGTTTAATACATACTATTTATAACAAAATAAGCAAATATTCTAACAGCGATAAGTATTTTTTTAATTAGAAGAAAAATAATTAACAATTTTTGTCTGCGTAAATTTGCGCTTAGCATTGTCTTCCAATGCCTGCGCCCGTAATTTACGAAGAACTAAAATATCCGTGTATGAAAGTTCTTTTCTTTCAGCCCAGTCTAAAGCTTGGTTGAAAACTTGTATAGCTTGTCACTACACTTCTGACTTCAATGGGATCGTTCTGATCATCCTCACTGTCCATATCCTCCTCCTTATCAGCATCATTCGTCTGCTTATCTTCGTTCCATAAATTAATATCAGCAGGAGTACAAACAATGTTGGGATTCACTGTTTTCAATAAATCAACAACATCCAATGACACACTAATAACATTATCATTATTGGATCGCAAACGTTCTCTAATTACGCTTAAGGGGACATCATCTTCTTCATCATCTTCATTATTGGTACAAAAGAGATTGTTCCAACATTTTTGAATAGTTTGCTGGTTAAATTCATTCCAGGCCATATGTAAATCAAAACAGCTTCTCGTAATGTTACTTTTTTTAAAGCCTCAGATAAGTTTTCAGGATTCTTTGATAAGACAGACGAAAGTAGAAACTTCCTATAGTATAGTTTGGTGAGTCTTATTATATTCTGGTCCATCGGTTGAATTAACGGTGTTACGTTGGGCGGCATGTACATGACGAAAATTGACCCATCTCTGCTCTTCAGTTGTTGCTCGGGAGGATGACTTGGTGCATTATCCAATAGTAACAACGCTTTTATTAGAAGCTTCTGTTGTTTTAGGAAATCTGTTACCTACAAATTGAAAACACATCTTCAAATTATGAATAGAGCATTTGTGATAATTGATTGTCATACCTGAGGGACAAAGCACCTGTGAAACCATTTCAGGAATATACTGCTAGTCATCCAAGTGGTTTTTGAACAGTCATAATCAACAGAGATATTAACATTTTTAAATGAGCGCGGATTTTTTGCTTTCCCAATTACCAGTGGCTTTATTTTGTGTGAACCATTAGCATTAGTGCAGGCTAGAAACGTTATTCTTTGTTTCTCCGGCTTTCTTCCCGGGGCAGATTTTTCAAATGATGCAGCATAGGTTTTCTCTGGTAACATTTTCCAATAAAGGCCACTTTCATCTGCTGATAATTTTTCACCAGATATAGACAGCAGTCGAATTCCATATCTTGTTTTGAATCGTTGTAGCCAGCCATCACCAGCTACGAAATTTTCAGTTTCTTTCATTTAACAGTCTCGCTCTCTGTTTAAGTACTTCGCCACTAACTGGGACATGATTTTCCCGTTGTTTTAAAAACCACTTATACAGGGAATTTTCCATTTTAGGTGCCTTCGCATTTTTTAAAGTTTTTCTTTTTCCCGGACCTCCAAATGTATTGCACGTTCTTTGTAAAATTTGAGTTTTCATACGCTTCATTTTACAGATTGTTGCTTTCGATACTTCATATTTTTTTGCTAACTGTGTCACTCCCGCACCTAGTGCAACTTCGTCTATGATTTTCACTTTCTCACTCAACTTTAAACACTTTCTTTTATAGGATGTGGACGCCATAGTCGTAAAATATATTAACGCGTGCAATGTATTCACTTAAGTTCAAAAATGAAATACATACGTACGTATAAACGTATCCTAAACGATCATGCGACCGACCGAGTTTGTCGTATTTTATCGCAGAGGTGAATCCCCTACACTCTACATCATAAATCGGGGACTCCCCGACGCCCGACATAAATCATCGAGGCTTCAGCATTTTACCGTCGCGCTGTTTCCGTGCGCCGAGAGCTGTTTACGTTATCGAGCGTACACATTGTTTACGTTATCGCGCGTTCCGTTTGAGCCTATAGAACGAAGTTTGTATTTACATTAGCGCAAGTTTTCATTATCCCGTGTTTACGTTATCTAGCGTCTGCTGTATATATATATTGTAAATTTTCTCAAATAAATGAACTATGAACTACTCATGTATATTGCATTGTATTTGAGCAGAGTTACAAGTTAAAGTATTGAAAGGATAAAAACTTGCAAACCCTCCCTACTCCATGGGGGGTGAATTTTCAAAAATTCCTTCTTAGTCCTAACATTTTATGAAGGTCCTCTCTGAGATATTCTAAGTTTCTACGTCTATCGGTTTCGGCTCTGCATTAATCGAGATCTTGGAATTAGTCTGTCTAATAGCTTCGAGCACATAACATTTTGTATACCGACTTCGGAATCGTTTTCACTTTCCTCCTTCTCGTAGGATGAGGGGCGGTACTGCTGTAACGGCGGTGGATGACTTGAAAGAGAGAGCGAAAGTACGGTGGGACCCGCACAATCGTATTTCGGTTCTCATGGTAGAGCGGGCCAAAGATGAGGATGCTGGCAACTACTCTTGCGTCGCATTCGACAAAGAGAACGAGTTGTCGCGGGACAGTATAATAGCCGCCAGTAAGTAAAAAAAAGAATTCGTACATGTGAATGAAACATTATCTTTTATTCGGACTGGCAAGATATCAAAAGAGATCCAAATCTGATACTACAGCAGTACAATGAATATTTGTTATCATCAATTCCGCTTTGACTGAAAGTTGTGAAACATGTGACTTTTGACTACAATTTATAAGAAAACGACCAGTCATTATATTTGAGACCAGTGACTGTTGATGAGTGTGTGAACTATCGAGAAGGCTAAAAACTAAATTCATCTGTGGTATAGATGAAGTTTCTACAATAATAGTAAAACTTTATAATCCAGTTTTAAAACACGTTTTGTGATTATTAATAATGCTTTTAGACAAGGAACATTCCCAGATCAATCAGAAAATGCAATCAATCAATAACGTTTTTTTTTAAATTGATAAAAGATTAGTAGAATTTATGCATGACTGTAATTTATTTATTACTCATCAGCATGGATATCTACATGAAAGATCAACAGGTGCTGTGATATTTCAGTTTGTTCAAACAGTAAATACACAATTAGAGGAGTGAAACTGAGAGGCTGGTTTGTACCGGGACTTGTTCAAAGCTTATGATTGCATTGACAGATACATATTGTTATTAAAGCTACAAAGAGGAACTGCACTTGAACTTACCTATATAAAAATTAAAAGAGGGTTTAAATTGTTGAGGGAGGTCACACTTACCAGTCAAATATTGAGTTGACTTCAACCAGTGTAGCAGAGGGCAGTATACGTAGTCATGCCATAAGTTCTGTCCCTCGTTTTCAAACAAGGGTAGACCTGTTAATACTTGTCCGATTGTTTACATTGTGGTGTCAGTTGATTAAGCGCTTTTCGGGTAATTACATATACCTCAGTTTGTATTGATCTCTCGAAGCATAACGATGGAGTGGGGCAAGGCAGAGAACCGTATTGCAGTGATAGCTTTACATAAGTGTAATCACAGTGCTAGTCAGATTTTTGAACTCTTACGCGGCCTTCAAATATCGCGTAAATTTGTGTCTAGGACCATTCAGCGGTACAATGAGACGTCCTCTGTTGATGACAGGCCAAGAAGCGGAAGACCTCGTCAAGTAAGGACTCCAGCAGCCATCAAAGCCGTAAAAGCCAGGATTCAAAGGAATCCACTCCGGAAGCAGAAGATCCTATCCAGGGAAATGAAGATTCCTGTCCGGACGATGTCGCGCATCATTAAACAAGACCTAGGGCTAGGGGCTTACCGGAGACGTACGGGCCAGCGACTTACGGCCACCTTGCGACACATCAGGGCGACAAGATCCAAGACGCTCTTGGAGAGGTACGCAGCTGGGGGATTCCGAAAGATTTTGTTCACGGATGAGAAAATCTTCACCATAGAAGAAAAATTCAACCGACAAAATGACAAAGTGTATGCAAGGAGTTCACAGGAAGCTTCGGAGATCATTCCGAGAGTTGAGAGAGGCCACCACCCTGCGTCAGTCATGGTTTGGGGGGGGGTGTCCTACGAAGGGGTCACTCAGCTCCATTTCTGTAAACAGGGCGTGAAAACAAAAGCGGCAAACTATCAGAGCGACATACTGGATCCTATCGTCAAGCCTTTAAGTGGTACATTGTTTGCCAACCAACACTGGGTCTACCAGCAGGATTCCGCCCCCGCTCACAAGGCTAAGAGGACGCAGCGCTGGCTGGAAAGCAATGTGCCAGAGTTCATTGCTGCGGAAGATTGGCCCTCAGGGAGTCCGGACCTCAATCCTTTAGACAAGTTGTGGGACCTGCTAGAGCAGTTGGCCTGCTCCAAAGCCCACCGTAATATCGAGTCCCTGAAAGCGGATTTGATCCGATCAGCGGCAGCTATTCCTTTGGAAGCTGTGCGTGCAGTGATAGATGAGTGGCCCGCGAGATTGAAGCAGTGTGTGAAGGCCAAGGGGGGACATTTTGAATAAAACTGTTTGATTATGAATTCTAAAAATGTTGTCGAATAAATAATATCTTTCATATAAATATATCTTATCTTGTTTCATTTTTATCATGAGATTATCATGGGACAGAACTTATGGCACGACTATGTATACTTGGGCCGACTTTGTTTGTCGTTTTTTTAAATGATCTCTTTTTTGTTACTAGTGGTAATGAAAGTAATCATAAAATTATCTGCTATGCTGGTGACACAAATGTAGTGTTGGGTGGACAAGGGTAGGTGACCTAACTGCTAATGGGAGTCTCTTATTCAGAAGTGTGAATACAGTGTTTTCTGAGATCAAACTGGTGTTGAATAAATCCAACACTGATGCAAATTTATTTAGAACTAAGCAAAGTCGTTAAACTACAATGTAACGATATAGATATCGTCAGCTGCAGTTGAGTGAAAGTATAATGTTCTTAGGCATCTAAATTGATGAATTTTTAGATTAGACAATACATGTATTTGAACTGCTGGAGATGCTTAATTCCATTTGCTATGATTTTAGGGTGACGTCAAGATATCTGTATTTTTAGTGTTCTAAGGTATGAGATTATTTTTGGAGGGCGCAATAGGTTTATTCAGAAAATTTTTGTTCAAAAAGAGTAGTACGTCTGAGGAGCGGTCTACTTTTCAATGAAATTTGCAGGGGAGTGTTTAAAACTAAAAAAAAAAATTCTGTATACCTATGCTATCTATTATATTGTTTTTTTTTCAAAAAAATTATTCGTAATTATCCAATGCATATATTATCTTCCACAGAAAAAAGCCATATTTACATGTGTTTACATTTTTTTAATAATCTACCAAATGAAATTAAAAACATAAACAGTTTATATACATTTAAAAAGGCCATTAAGCATTTCTAATATAGTCAGTGCCTTATACCATAGATGAGTTCTATGTGAGCTGTAATAATTTCAGGTTGTAGCTGTCTTAAGTTACATAACTGTTATACAAGAAAAACTACTATAGTTAAAGTGATATTATACGCAACTTTTCATTTTGTATTGGCTATACAATTTCTGTAATGTCATTGTACAATTTCAAATATAGATTATTATATTTTATTGTCTTTTGGTGGTACTGCATTGTAGAGATCGGTCAATACGGGATTTTTGCCAATAACGAGAATCTTTCGGTACCAATATATCGAAGACTGATATATCGGTTTTATCGGCCATTTGTCTTTGTCTAGACATAATCGTGCGAACACGATGGCCTGAACGCGTCTATGTGAGTCATAACACACTCCGGAGAAGCCCCTCATGAAAGTGTTTAAAAAACATAAGCTACAATAATCTATTTGGATTTGAGCACCGTTAGCTAAACAATAATATTTATTTATTTATTTATAATTTCCAACAGGTTACATCCAATTACAGGAAATATAACAACAACGAAAATAAATCAATAATTTAACATCGCAACATAAAAAAAGAAACAAAATGTATACAAGTTTGCCAGTATTTGGAATGTGTAAATAGCTTTTAACATATTGAGTCTATGTAACACCAAGGTACCAGTCATGGTAACAATCCAATACAAAGTTTTCTCGATATACACAAAAAATATCCCAAGCAGAACAAATCGCATTGAAACATTCACACATATAGCTTAATGGTGACTTATATCCGATGTTTGCACCACAAATGTCAGGGTAAAACAAATTCTGACAGCGGCTACCTAATCTAGGGACGCGAAAATAAATTTTACTCAATATTAAAGGGCAATCAATTTGATTGTTCAGTACTTTATATAAAAAATCTTAGCACCGATAAATCACGCCTCAGTTGTTGAACTTGAAAGATCCTTAACAGTGTTACATGGTCAAAACCTCTTCCAGTGTAGTGACAGTGACATTTAAAATAAAAATATTCAAGTGCTTACTCTGCCCGCATTCCATGCTCGCTCTGTAGTTTAGCTAGGTAGGAGATGACGGATGCGTTTTCCAGCTTGCTCCTAATAAAATTGAAATTCAGGAGGTTTAATGTCGCGATATCAGCGATTAGTAGTGATATGCATTCTAATAACGACAGAGATGAATGTGTTTGTGTCTGAGAAATAAAAAAACGTAGTTTGTGTCCAACTGTTGATTAGAGATCGACAACGCACCACTTACATGAGTCATCATATCAAATCTTATAATACCTAATGAATGTCAAAGCCTCGTTGCCTTTATTTTTAATTTAAACACTATGGAAACCCTTAGATCTAAAGCAAATTTCTTCACTTCGAAATTACCACTTGAAAAGTGAAATTAGAGTTTCAAAGAAGTGTTTTGGTAAAACCTAGTTTTATCAGCTCGAGACGTTTGTTTTACACTGTTACTTAACTCACTTTGAGCTCCTCGATCCTCATTTAGATAAGTTTGCTTCAATTTTTTGCAGAACCCCTTGTTGTGCGTACACCAAAGAACTTGAATTTTGTTGAAGAAGAGAAATTAAGAGTAACATGCAAGCCTAATAGGGAAGCAAAAATACATTGGGTGTTCCGTAAGTATACATTTCTCCTTCTATTTGATCCAGTTTACAATGTAATTCTCTATTCCTCCTTATAAAAGGTAAGGTGTATCTATTAATCTATTCAGCTGTATTGTTTGCTTCATTTATAGTCTTTTCGGTGGTTCTTTAGAGCGTAGTTATAGATTTTCATTGATTTTATAGATGGCAAAGAGTACCACGAGTCCAGGGACCGAGTGATATTAGAAGATAACGAAGAGGATGGCAAGATAATTCCTAATGGAACTTTCGTGCTAGAAAAGGCCGAGAGAGACGATCGAGGCGAATTACTGTGCGTCGGAACCGACCCCGTGACGGGAGACACTGCCAATTACACTTGCATGGTGCGCGTTAAAGGTTGGTACTGTTAGCTTTAAGCAACATGTTAAACCTGCGCAGAAAAGCGCGACGTCAAAGAGAGGATACAATAAGGGATACTTGTCGAACTGATAGTGAAATACACGCGTAGCCCTCTATGGCGAAATCTGCGCGTTTTGGTGTATTAATGCAAATATAATTATGTAATAGAACAAATGCGTTGCATTGTGAATTATAAAAAATAATGGCTAGAACAGTAAATGCAAAACCAAGGTAATTAGAGCAAAGGGTTAAATGGATACCTACTGTTTAGAGAAAAGTAAGTTTGGATATTGAAAAACGTATTTTATAACGAATTGTCGACTAAAGAATTTTTCGTCAGATGTACAATAAAGGTGATAATTGAAACGAACTGAACTTTGTTTACAGATCATAACATCAAAAGGTGTAGTTTGTGTGGAAAATGTGTTTTAGGCTCAGTAAGTAGTATTCTTTCAGACTAAAAAAAAACCCCTCACGCAGTATATTTTGCAAAGTGAAACTACCATCTGCTTGAGCTAATATCGCATATTGTAAGTTTTTTAAAGAAAACAATATTTCGAATACAAATCATATAAAAACTTACTTGTATACCTTTATATTACTCGTACAGTATATATGTTCAATATGAGGAGTGCCTTGGCATTGCTAATTAGTATTCGGCAAATTTAAATTGATCCTAAAACTAATTTAGAGATTGGTTGTTGAAAAATTGTAATTTTGTTTGGACCTAAAGTCGCACGATTTAATGTTTTATTCACAGTGCGAGTCGAGGCCTTGTGTGCTTGGGAACTTGCTCGACTGTGTAGTCTACTGATTCGCGTAACAAAGGGTTGCTATGCGATTCCAATTGACTATAACGTAGCTGCGCTTCTTGTTTGATGTAGTCCCTCAGGTAAGGGATGTCAAGGTCTCTGTGAAGGGTCCAATTGGAAACATACCATGGGGCGTTAGTGATTGTACGCAAGGTTCTGTTTTGCAAAACCTGCAGGCTACGCAAATGCGTTTTGGTGAGAAAACACCAAGCCGCACTTACGTAAGTGATCGCTGGTCTAGTAACCATCTTCTATAGCCGAACTCTGTTGATCAAACTTAATTTTGATGTTATACATAGCATAGGGTAAGCTACCGAAACGAAATTTGGAATTTAGTTTTTAACGCTTCGGGTGCTTCTTCCAGGTCATTCGTTTGTCAAGAGTGATACTTAGCAGAACTTTTTTATGGTACCCTAGCTCCATTCACTGAAACCTCAGACGGGGTGTCGCTACGTTTTTTAGTACAATAGATAGCCTGCGTTTTCGACTGATTAATTTTGATCAGCCACCGATTCGCCCATTGCAATACCTCGTCCACTGTACTTTGCAGCCTGTTTTCACAGTTGCTGGGGCAAGAGACGTCATGAATAAAAAGTGAATAAAGGACTGGTCCAAGAACCGTACCCTGAGGGACACCTACTGTAATGGGCCGTGTTGTCGACAGAGCATAGTCAATTCTGATTCGAAACTTCCGACCTTTAAGGAAGAATTTGAGTAGTCTTAGAAGCCAGCCAAAAAGGGAAGCCTTTTGGATTGGTTTATACAGGAGGTTCGCGTGCCACACGTTTTCAAATGCCTTTGAGACATCCAGAAGCAAGATGTCAGTACTTTCGTTACGGGTGAACCCGCTGGTTACTCGTTCAACAAGCCTAACCGCCTGTAACTCCGTACTATGCTCAGACTGAAAGCCAAATTGCACGCCAGGAATCACATTGTGGTCTGACGAGAAATTGTCAAGTTGACGTAGAAACACCTTTTCAGCGAGCTTGGAAGGAGCTGACAGTAGACTAATGGGGCGGTAATCCTGGGAGAATATCGAGTCCAACTTCTTTGGGATCATTATAACATCAGCGGTCTTCCACATCGCTGAGAAGTGCTGGGTCCTTAGCATGTCATTGATTATTGCTACGAGATAAGTTAAGGACTTCCGCGATAGCAGTTTCAGTGCTTTATTAGTGATTGGTCCCTCTCCAGGTGCTTTACGCACCTTGAGGACTTTAATATGACCTTGAAGCTCTGCTGGTGTACAATACGGAATCTCGGGAGACTCCGCTGATGTGCCATCGATCCGATATTATATATACAGGGTGTCCCAGAAGTCGACGTCAAGCCGAAACCGGGTGATAGGCAAAGTCATAACAGCTATCAGAAAAATATTTAAAAAAATTTTATGTATGTGTTTTGAAAATTATAGGTCTTTGAAAAAAATATAGAAATTTCACACCCTACGGCAGTCTGTCAACTCCTGTTACTACAAATATTAACTTTTTTTGGATTTTATTTTTACAATGTAATGATGAATAATGCATCTTCAAACTGGTGTCTCAACCTTACTGCCAACTTTTCTCATTCAGGAAAAATTGCCACTTATTTCCCAACCAAGTATTCCAAAGTAAAACTTTGCTCAACTTTAACTGGCTGTACTGGAATAAAATGTACTACGAGAGTTTGGCAAGTAACCTTAAAAGTTAGCGCATTTAATAAGGATTCCAAAATGGTATAACACTTAGAAGATTACTCGTTAACTTGTGCACAATTTTTGTTTGAAGAAAAACTGATGAAAATTTTTCAAAATTTCCTAATTAAACAGCTATTATGAAAACGCACAAGGACCCTTAAGGATAACTGTTTGCACAACAGTGGGCGTCAAAATGTTGCTGATGATGATTTACCTTTACAGCAAATGCTCAAACTGTTTTCCTTCAGCCGCAATACACGCTCGACATCTTCTTAAAAAAGATCGGGTTATTAAACGAGCGAATCCACGGTTATTAACAAACTCAGCTGCTTCCAATAGTCTTTGCCGTAGCTCAGCTACATTTTGAATCGGCTTGAAATACACTTTTTCTTTTACAGTTCCCCAGTAAAAAAAATCTAATGGATTCAAATCTGGTGACCGGGCTGGCCACGGTATTGTACCAGACCGCCCTATCCATCTGCCTGGAAAGTTTTGATCGAGATACTCTCTCACTGAGAGAGTATAGTGCGCTGGGCAGCCATCATGCTGAAACCACATATCCCTGTAAATACTCAGTGGCACGTCCTCCAATAAATTTTCTAAATGATTTTGCAAAAAACCTAAATAAACCTCAGCAGTCAAAGTCTCTGGGAACTCAAACGGACCGATTACTTTACCATTTAAAATTCCTGTCCAATGGTTTATCTTGAAGCGATATTGAGATTTATCTTCTCTCATCAAATGTGGGTTTGCTACGTGCCACTCGTGTAAGTTATGCAGATTCATGTACCCATCTTTCTTAAATGTGGTCTCATCTGACCATAAAATTTTTTTCAAAGAACCGTGGATCTTCCCTGTGTCTTTCTAACATTGTGCGACAAAAAGCAACTCGGGGCTCATAATCCCGGGGCAGAAGAGCTTGAACACGCTGTACGTGGTATGGATGGAGCACGTTTTTTTGCAAGATTCTATGGCTGTACTTTTGGGCACACCTGTTTTTAGTTCTATTGCACGCACTGAAGTACTCGGGTCTTCTTCGACAGCTCTTAGCACCACGTCTTCGTAAGGAAGGAAAGATCTTCCCTCACCGTGTGATTGGTTTGGTAGTTGGCCCTCTGAGAACAGTATGCGGTGCACATTTGTGAACACTCGATGATCTGGATGACGAGCTGTATTCGGGTACCTCTCACAGTAAAGTCTTGCTGCAGCACTAGCGTTGCATCTGCATTCCCCATAAATGAGGTGCACGTTAGCATATTCTTGTACGGTGTACACGGACATAGTGGCACTGCACAATCACACTATCAAAGATAGTCTAAGGAAAGCAAATGTTGTTTTGAAGAGCAATTAAACAGTCCAAATCCAAATCACAAGCGATCAACGGTCCAGTTCACGAATCCAAAACTAGTAACAGTACGAAATCAACAAGCACGAACATGTAAAGATGCGCAGTAAACGAAGGAGTACTGATCGGTATCAAAGTGTGCAATAGCAAGTAAGTGATGTGCTTCATCCATACCACATACAGCGTGTTCAACCTCTGCTGCCCCGGGATTATGAGCCCCGAGTTGCTTTTTGTCGCACAATGTTAGAAAGACACAGGAAAGATCCACAGTTCTTTGAAAAAATTTTATGGTCGGATGAGACCACATTTAAGAAAGATCGGTACATGAACCTGCATAACTTACACGAGTGGCACGTAGCAAACCCACATTTAATAAAATAATCGGTCCGTTTGAGTTCCCAGAGACTTTGACTGCTGAAGTTTATTTGGATTTTTTGAAAAATCATGTACAAAATTTATTGGTGGACGTGCCACTGAGTATTTACAGGGACATGTGGTTTCAGCATGATGGCTGCCCAGCGCACTATGCACTCTCAGTGAGAGAGTATCTCGATCAAAACTTTCCAGGCAGATGGATAAGGCGGTCTGGTACAATACCGTGGCCAGCCCGATCACCTGATTTGAATCCTTTAGATTTCTTTACTGGGGAACTGTAAAAGAAAAAGTGTATTTCAAGCCGATTCAAAATGTAGCTGAGCTACGGCAAAGACTATTGGAAGCAGCTGAGTTTGTTAATAACCGTGGATTCGCTCGTTTAATAACCCGATCTTTTTTAAGAAGATGTCGAGCGTGTATTGCGGCTGAAGGAAAACAGTTTGAGCATATGCTATAAAGGTAAATCATCATCAGCAGCATTTTGACGCCCACTGTTGTGCAAACAGTTATCCCTAAGGGTCCTTGTGCGTTTTCATAACCGCTGTTTAATTAGGAAATTTTGAAAAATTTTCATCAGTTTTTTTTCAAATAAAAATTGTGCATAAGTTAACTAGTAATCTTCTAAGTGTTATACCATTTTGGAATCGTTATTAAATGTGCCAACTTTTAAGGTTACTTGCCAAACTCTCGTAGTACATTTTTTTCCAGTACAGCCAGTTAAAGTTGAGCAAAGTTTTACTTTGGAATACTTGGTTGGGAAATAAGTGGCGATTTTTCCTGAACGAGAAAAGTTGGCAGTAAGGTTGAGACACCAGTTTGAAGATGCATTATTCATCATTACATTGTAAAAATAAAATCCAAAAAAAGTTAATATTTGTAGTAACAGGAGTTGACAGACTGCCGTAGGGTGTGAAATTTCTATATCTTTTTCAAAGACCTATAATTTTCAAAACACATACATAAAATTTTTTTAAATATTTTTCTGATAGCTGTTATGACTTTGCCTATCACCCGGTTTCGGCTTGACGTCGACTTCTGGGACACCCTGTATATTGAGATTGCTAGTTGGCGCTGTCGTCGTGCACCTAACGACTAAAGATGCAAAATGTGCGGCGTTAGCGACGCGCTGTCAGGGCGGTTGCTACATTCAGATAACGAATACGATCTCGCTGTGGCTCGACATTATGGTATGGTATGGTAACAACATGTCGGCGAACTTTTGATTCGAGAACATTGTAAATAAACACTACGACGTTTGCGAACAAAAACAAAACAACACGCTCGATGCTCTGTTTTACAAAACGATAACTAACCACTGTTACCGTTTGCGATCGATTGCCGGTTCGATAAGGGTGATGAAAGACCGAAGCGCTGTTGTCATGTGTGTTTTTAATATTTAATTTAATGAAACTTACTTACTGACTACAAATTTTGGCTTAACTTAGAAAAACTTAATGCCATTTACTTGTTAGTTACTCAATTTAAAAACGTTTTAGACTAGATTATAAAAATTAGTAATATTGTGGTGATTGTGGTCGATATAAAGCACATAAAGTTGTAAACTACAAAGCCATTTAGACAAAAATCTATTGACTTTTGGACCATGGGTCATATGAGCTTTTTGTCTTGTTTTGACCTCCCCTAGTACCCATTTCAATAATTACTACCATAACGTTTACACCCTGTATAGTGTTTCGAGATATTATATAACGTCCAATATCAAACATAATATAATACCACCAGTAGGGAAGTAAAAATGAATAATTAAAACATATATTTGGTTTTTAAAAATGAATGATTCCCAACAGAACACACAAAAGCAAAGATAACACGATTCATTATTTAGATGAAACATTCCAATGAATGCAAAGTTTTTTCTTCACTACAAAAAAGAAAATTATTATAAATTCGTCCTTTTAGTCAGTAGTTGTGGTGGTCAAATAACATTTAAACGTTGTGCACATCCTTGATATAAACATTAAGAATTGGCATTGCAACTAATTAACAAGCAGTGCTATATTGTTGTGTTGATATGGCTAGACACAGACAGAAAGGAAGGATACATTATTATTTCTGATAGTGAAAATAGGAGTTTTTTTTTGTGATATTTAATGGCTTGGCTCTTTGTTGTGGATAAATACTATTGGGTGGTTGTCACTTTATCTTCATAAATTAATAATGTTAAGGTACATAATACTCAAATCTGCTATGCTATGCCCGTTATTTTATTAACAGTGGTCAAAGTAGATTTAAGAATTGTGTCCTGTTGTTTTGTGCTTTTTTACTTTTTATTTTGTTTGTTAGTTTATTCGCATTCGGCTTTTATATATTTTGTACTTTTACTTTCACTAATTTTGGCCTATGTAAGCACGCACATGTACTAGATACAGCATTCAAATTTCATCAAATTAAAATAGCAACTACCTCATAACATTTATCAACAACAAAAAGGAAACATCAGATATCGCAGAACACAACTGCATTTTTGACTATAAAAAATACTTTCTCCTTTCTTTCAGCCTGTGTCCCGCAATATTAACATAACTATCACTACTTGTTAATAAGTTGCTGTCTGAATTCTCAATGTTGATATTATAACTTTTGAATCTTATCTGACGAACACAGTATATTTTTTTCTAAATAACGAATCATTATTTTAATTTTTTGATCTGTATATGTTTGATAGTTATTCCATATAATGATTTTTAACCAAAATAAGCAACTCTTACGTTTATTTTGTATCTAAATTGTTGATTAATGTCAATGTAAAATTAGTGGTTTTAATTTTTTGTACAGCCCTGAAGAAGTAAATACATTTTTTCGAAACCTCAGCAACTTTAGAACAAGAAACTTCAGGCCCCAAATCCAATTAAGTACTCTATGCAGATGATAGTCATTACAAGACTAATATGCTTGTCACGAAACACCTGTTATTGAAGTTATCAATATTGGGTCATGTACGAATAGGATTTGGATCCGATTTTGGGACTGTTGTGGTGATCTCATCATTTAATGCTTTGCCTTTCTTCTCAAGTCAAGTAGCTTCCACTATAAAAAAAGCAAAATTTGTATAAAAATAGATATTTTTTTGCAGACAAATATGCACCATTGTGGCCATTTTTGGGAATATGTGCAGAGGTGATAGTACTATGTGCCATTATAATAATTTATGAGAAGAAACATAAGACAGCAGATTTGGAAGAGAGCGATACTGATCAAAGTCCTGACCAGTAAGTATGAGTTATTAAAGTGAATCAGATCGACTGTGTTCGCGTTGAGGCTCTAAAATGTCGTATTCTGGCAATTGAACGTGATGTATATGTTGATATTGACGATTGTATAACATATTTTGCTTTTAAAAAAAATACGAAAAGTCCATTTTTAATGGATTAAATAATTTACAGGTGTATCTTCTACTAATTTTCCTAGACTTGAAATAGAGGGGCGGCATATTGGTAGTTTGTAACCCCCACTAGACAAGTTTTGTTACATGGCATTCTATTTTGTTCCAGAAAAAATACCCCTGACCAAGCAAAAGGGACGAAAGTGAGGCACAGGCAGTGAACAAAGAAAATAGCGTGTAACGAGCAGTACCCCCGAAACCACCGCGTATGGGCTACAAACTGCCTCTGTACTGTCTCAAAAATTACACCGGTTTAGAGCAGGACGTTTTTTTCTTTCTTCCTAGCGGCAGGCCAAAAGACACTTGCAAGACTCGCATACCAAAGTACATTTTTATTAATTTATAATTATCGAGGCCTGGCGATTAGGAACTGCAAAAAACTCGACATAGAATTAGGTAATGATTATATTGTTGAAAAAGCCTTCCCGCGCGTCAAATATTAGCCGTTTCATTGCATTATTTTTTATTGCTTATCGTTTTAATCCAGCCATATGTGTACTTATATAGGTATGTTTTTGATATCGTACTTGAATTTATCTGTAACATTAGGGACTTATAAATTACAAACTAACTAATGTGCATTAACATGTAGTCCAACAGATCAATTAAGGTTTATTTCTTGTAAGTGAAGATTGCAGCAAGTAAGGTTTTAAACCCATTTTAATCGCATGATAGTTTTTATTCTATGGTTTCTTTATATAAAATATCGTTTGATGTTTAGAGAATATTTCAAAATATGGTAACACTGATCTTCTGCGATTTATTTGTTAATATGTGTTTCTTGGGCATAAGATATCCATCCTCTGAGTTTCTGTGTTAGGAACTACAAGAACCCCGCAATGAAATTGGCTCTTATGTGACGGAACTGTGAACATTTTGTATATAGGATCGGAAAAGTATACACACTCCTGTTTATATAGTCGTGCTGTTATATAAATATTTTAAACTTTGCGGATTGTTTTCATTTCACATTTGTATTCCATTCCATTCAGTTACCTTTCACTATCACTGCTTCTATCGTAAATCATGGCATGCAGGGTTTTTCCATTCACCTACCATTAATTTTTCAAAATATTCTTCAGCTACTTTGCGCTTAATTTATTACAGCAAACATTTTTTAGGAATTCCCATAGAAATGAGCAGTTAAGTCTAGCTTTAGGGCCAGATGACGTATCCTAATTGGTAGAGATACTTTGGAAACAATATATTTTCTTCAGCTGTGTTACATATTGCTTTGTTTTTCTAGAATCACATTTCTTGCAGATTAAGTTGTCGGATTTTAGGAACCACAAAGTTTTACCTTTCCTTACTTTTTTGAAGAATCTGCAGGTACTTTTCATAGTGCAACTGGCTAGCGTTGTCCTTATATGAACTTTGTGGCTCCTAAAATTTAACAACTTTACCTGCAAGAAATGTGATTTTAGCAGGATGGATCATCGTGTTACACATCTAGAGAAATGATAAATCTTCTGTGAAGCAGGAGGAGGATATTTTTAATTTTTTTTCAAATTGCCGTTCCAGATGAGAGCATTTTTATCTCAGTTTGAGCGGGTCGTACACGCATAAGCTATCGGATTTTTGATCTTCATTCCTCACAAAACATAATTTCTCTGGTTGTGTCACACATTGGTTTGTTCTGCCGGAATCGCATTTCTTGCCGATTATGTTGTCGGGTATTAGGAACCACATAGTTTTGCAGCATATCCTGGTAATCAGCAGGTAATTTTCTCATTGTTACTGGCTAACATTGTCTTCATATGAACTTTATGGCTCCTAAAATTCGATAACTTGACGTGCTATAAATGTGGTTCCAGCGCAGGACGGAGCATCGAGTCACACATCTAGAGAAGTGTTGAATTTTATGATGGAGCACTTAGTTTAGAGGGCTGCATGATATCGTGATATGATTTTTCATATATAACTCCTAGCTTCCATTGAAATGTTGTCGTAAATATTTGTAGTACATTTCAATGTTGATATTGCAGCAAACGATATCAGCATTGTAGTACAAATATTCAATTGATCAATAGAGTTGCTTTATATAAAGCAACACGTTGGGACAAATTGGGAAAAACTCTGCATCAGTTATATCTACCACATATATTACCTTAAGAAATTCAATGATTTTATCCAGATACTTTCCATTATGAATTATGAATGTCATCTTTTTGCTACAAGCATTATTTTTTATACACAATTTCTACAGAAAATCGTTGTTGCTTGACTCTCAACGTTCTGTTTCTCCATTAATAATAGCTCTACATTGTATTGATTATAAGGAATAATAAAAGTAACTATGATTTTAACATTTTATTCAGGTATTTGAGTATTTCACTTCTAGAACACTGTGTATGTGAATGATAGACATCATTAAGCTAGATAAACGTTAAAATTGAGACATTTTGAAGTGATATATGATATGCTAAAAATGATAATTTTTTAATACATTGACAAGGGGCTGTTACTTAGTCAGAAGGTTAACCTGTCTTGATTCTGTGGCTTTGCTTGCTGACTCTATCTTTATCATTAGATTTGCCATCACATCCATTCCATTTGGTGCCAAGGAACTGTTAGTCTAATCATATTAGACGAAAATACCCCTGGTTTGCGAAATAACTGTAAAGTCTGGTATTATTGCTGCATGTTGTTCAAGGCGGTATTTAAAACATGGTCGCATAAAATGGGTACAATTTTTGTGGGAAAACTTTTTACTCACCAACAAACAATGAGAAAACGTGTTTTTTGGGAATCAATCGAAAGTGTTGGCAGGAAAGACAAAACTATTCATATAAGGTTTTTAGGTATTTTTGAGACCTACAAAATGAGAGCATACGTAAAAAGATTCGACTAATAGCAAAAAAATTATGGCCTAAAACCGAAGCAAACTGCAGGGGCTTGATTCTAAATGAGTCTCGACCGTTGAAATTAACTTCGAAGGCGCCTTGTGACGATATATTTGATTCGCTATGATAATTTTGCCATCTGATTAGATTCATCTCATATATTCAAATTATCATGGCAGTGTCAAAATTATCATAGCTAATCAAGTATATCGTCACAAGGCACCATCGAAATCAATTTCAACAGTCGACACTCATTTAGAATCAAGCCCCGGGTCTTCATACTTGTTAGTAATGCGACGATGGTTCCTCGCAGATATTTGAAATACTTTAAATTCGTAGGATTCATACTTCTAAATAACCACAACAAAATTGGAGTAGATTGGTCAATTAGTTTTTGAGAATTTCCAATTGTTTATCCCAAAACACCTGTTTTCCGGCCATCACTACTAGTTTATTGAGCAATATACAGGGTTAGTTCAAAGAGCATTTTATAGCAAAATACACTAGTTTACCTTGCTGATATGAATCGCAAACCATTCCGAAAGATAATATTATTTTTATGCAAAAAAGGATCGGCTACGTTTTTTTTTCTAAACAAATTCAAACATTGAGTATTTGTTTTTAATTCGCAACAAAAGATGATAAACACATCCGCTTTGTTTCAAAATGTGTATACAAATAAGAAATGTTTGAATTTGTGTAGAAGAAAAAACGTAACCTTTGTTTTTCGCAAAAAATAACATCTTTCAGTATGGTTTATGATTTATATCGGCAAGGTAAACATGTGTATTTTGCTATTAAATGCTCTGTATATTGCTCAATAAACTAGTAGTGATGGCTGGAAAACAGGTGTTTTGGGATAAACAGTTAGAAATTCTCAAAAACTACGTGACCAATTTGCTAAAATTTTGTTGTTTCACGTAGTTGCGTGATATCGTCGCATTACCAACAAGTACCAAAACCTGCATTTTGCCTCGTTTTTCGGCCTTAACATTTTTGCTATTAGTAGGATCTATTTACATGTGGTCTCATTTTGTAGGTCTCATAAATACCTGAACATATTATTTGAAAAGTTTTTCGATTCTGGCAACACTTTCGATTGAATCCCAAAAAACAGGATTTCTCATTGTTGTACACATTTTATGAGTCCATGTTTTAAATACCCTCTTGAGCACCAATAAAACCAGACTTGACAATTATTTTGGGGAAATTTGCTAATATGATTAGAGTATGTATAACAATGTTAAACCTTTGTTCAGGGATGAAGATTGAGATACAGTTATTTGATACCAGATGGAACTCACTATGCTGCGTCTAAACGTCTGTACCTGTCTCTATTTTATGAAAACGACAGCAAACCCTTGATTGATATGTCAGTTGTAACTGAAGACGATGAGATGTACCATAGAAACGTTACTGTGTTTTGTCTTCTAGCTAAAATACGACGACATCCTTATCTCGTAAAAAACCGCAACTTATTAAGTAACTGTAGCTGTTAAACACAAAATTGATACGTGCTAGCAATCGCAGCCTTCTTAACGTCCAACAATGGTGGCAGAACGTTGATTTAAGTTGGGTTCAGATTTGCTGCCCTAGAAAATGGTTGATCATTGAGTTGCAGTTGTTTATTCATGGTACGAATTTTGCATTTAACAGTAACATATGCATTTTTTACATGGTAAGAGTGGACAATTGTGACATCACATGTAAATGTTTACTGATAACCTTAGTGAATTGCGATCACATATGTAAGTATAATAGATCCACAGTATCCACATTTCGGAGCAATATTGTGTTAATGTAAGCTGAATTCGCTACCAATAATACTATTCATGGTAAAAGCTTTAAGCAATGATGAACTAAAAAAACCAGGCATTTTTTAAAACTATGAAGGTTTCCCTTCATTTCCTTGTAAGGACTGTTTCAAATTCAAAAGTTTGCCATATAATCTTACTGCTGATCCATCTGTTCAATCCTCCTGATTAGTGAGAATACAAAATTTTTTGAAAAACGCACAGTGCAAGAATATTTCAATTTTGGACTTCAGCTAAGAATTATTATGTTATTGTTTAATTAAAAATATAATAACGGTCATATAACAAAAATTGCGAGTAAATATAGTGATAAACTAGAAATGTTTGTGTATGCTGTCATTTGATTAGAATATCGGAATTTTTTTATTGAGGAAAAATTACAGTTATTTTATAGAATATCACTTATATATCATTCTGAACATTATTTAAATACAGAATTTGGTTTTAGCGTATTATAGAAATTCCACCTCAATTGTCGAAAACGTAACAGATTCCAACAGGTCTATCTATTCCAAATAGCTTAATATAACTACATTTTTTATCTCAATCTAACCAATACTTGACAGTCCTGTTATAATATGACCAAAAGGGTGATTCCACGGATTCAACAGTTCAAAATAGCTTAGGATACCATTGATGCAATAGAACCTTTTTTATGTCTGTTTTGGAAAAAAAACCTTCAAAACGTATAGCTTCTTTTAAATCCCTTTTATCATTTTTCTGAAAACACATGATCTTTACGTAGGTACCTTAATCTACCACATACTTCAGTATCATTACCCCGAATCAAAATGTCATTATATGTAAATAAGTATTCTTTTTCTATGTATTATGGTTTTAATCATCAACTTTTTTCAATAATATTTGCTAGAATATTTCCATGTGACTTTTAAGGTGGGAAAACTGTCGGGATTAACGCTTTTATTATTTTATTTTTGCATTTTTGTCTGTAACTCCCACCTGAATTTCTACTATTTTAAATATTATTCGCGACTAGCGTTAAATATATTGGTGCTTGCACAAAAAAATGTTATTTGTTATAAGAGAAATATATTATTTCAACATTTTGACTACATTTATTTCATCACAAATGAGAAATGGTGACGTTGAAAAGTATGAAGTAGGTAGTAGAGGGGGGCTGGGTAGCCGAGTGGTTAGCTTGTGGAGCTACTGGTCGCCCAAGGCTCGCGGGTTCGGATCTCCGCTTCGGAAGGTAATTCCGAGCAATAGATGTCGTGTTGTCTATATCACGCATCATACCGGTGCAAGATCAACATAGGTACGTCGCATCGCTCTGGAGCTGGTTTATTCAATAATCGATTCAGTAGAAGGCTTGTTTAGGAGTGTAAGCCTAGATAATAAGCAGCTATGAAACTCTCCTGTCAGTGTCAAAAACGGTCGCCATTTGGGCGGATAAAATCTTTTGTACAACGATGAAAAAGGCTTTAGTGTTCAGCAGCCGGTGTTCCTATCTATCGTGCCAGCGGTCGCAGATATTCTTTGTAATCGTAAAAAAATATTCGATATAATCTAGTGTAGTTTGTGTTAATCAATAATAAAAAGCTCCAAAATAAATTTGTAATGGTGGAAGCATTTACAATAAACGGAAAAATATTTACTTTTGCTATGTAATCTACGCTGCTGCGATATAATCAATCTATTGCATGTTCAATGTAAGCTGTGCTAAAAACACCAGATAAACATAACCTTCACTCAATCCCAAAAATTTCGGTATCTTTGTCGCGGAAAACACGAGAGCACTTAAACATTTAAATGAGAGATTTAAGAAACATGCTCATTAGTAAAACTAAAACACTGCACGAATATTTGTTATTCTTTGCTCATTCCAAACAAATTTATTTAAAAAATCTGTGTGTTATGTACATATAATTACGAATCATCTTATGGAAAGCGACATATTTTCCAAGTAAGGAGCGTATCCTAGCCTACAATTTTTAGTTGTAGTTTAGTTATATGGCTAGGCGAGAAATGCCAAAAACAGCATTTTTGATGTTCAAGTGGTAAAATCAACCCCTTCGACAGCTCGGAAGAAGATGTGGCCTTATAGCTACTAATAAAAGGAACACTTTTGATTCATTTTTAGCCTGTAACTTTTTTGCTGGTTAAATGAGACATGCAAAAAACCACCTTTTTAACGTTCAAGTGGTGAAATCAACCCCTTCGACGGCTACGAAGAAGATGGGATCTAAGTGGCCTCATAGCTACTAGTGGAAGGAACACTTTTGCATTCATTTTTAGCATGTAACTTTTTTGCTGGCTAGGTGAGAAATGCCAAAAACAGCATTTTTGATGTTCAACTGGTCTGTTGCTAAAATTAGCTAGAAATAAGAATGCAATCATTAAAAAGTCAGTATGTACAAAAAATGGCTGCTAGAAACTGGCTGCTAACTTCACACTGGTAATTCCTGAATCCTAAATAGTAGGAGCTCTTCACCGAGTTATTGATTTTTTAAACAGATTTTATTGAGATAAGAGTATCCATGTATATGCACCTAATATTGACGTATTATGAGGGGAGGAAACAGATGCATTTAATTACCAAATAAAAAACTGAGGAATGTTGAAGAATTGTAGACAAAAACGATAAGTAATAGATAATATGGCTGTTTGGAACAACTTTTCTAGATATTACGAGCATATGAGGTGAGCGCGATAACTATATGTATGCGTAGAAGTCTTGTGCTGTTGCGCTATTGCATTAACGGGGCTCCTGGGTTGGGCCTAGACGGTCGTCGGCGCTACTTTAAAAGAGGAAAGGATGACTGCGGGTGCATACCAAGGTAAATTTTTATAATAATAGTCGGATTTTGATTAGCCATCTAGAAGTAAATCGTTTCTTATTTTGGTAGTCAGCAAGTGAGCATTTAGTATTTTTCTCCCCTTGTTACTGTTCGTCGATATTGTGTTGTTGAATTGTTGTTGGTGTGATTGTTCTTGAGTGCTTTTTTTATCAAGGTTGATAATGGACAATAAATTGTCATATGCGACCATTTTAATTACGAATGCAGTGAGTTTAATTCATGATGAGGTCAACAATAGTGTGGAGCAGTTCAACTCTATAGGTAATCGCAAAATACATTGTGGTAAGCAAATAAATTATTGCAAGAAGAGGTCATACCATGGAAGATGTGCTGCAGCTGTAGTGAGCCGCAATACCCAGCGGCCTGTATATGTGGTCTAAATACATTTGCGTTCTAAGCTTAGTCCAACCTAGCTTATCGCTAATATGGAACAAAGACTCAAACGCAAGAACCTTGAAAAGAAACTCAGACCAAAAAAAGCTGATATAAAAATAACTAACAATTCGGATAGCAATTCCAAAGAAAATGAATAGTTTTATGGCGAATTCAATCAAAAACCTGACATAAACTACATTGATTTGGAGGTTGCTAAGCGAAAATTTTTAGGGAAACTTGAAAAGAGTGACGACGAGATTTTGCAGATCGAACAAGTCACCAAATCACAGGACTTTGTCGCGCCTTCATCGGAGGATAAGGTTGACCGCGTCTCGATTTGGTGAAGTTTGTAGAAGAAGGCAGACAACAAGCTGTAAAGTTCTAGTAAACTCCATCATATACCCAACAGAGTTTTCTAGTAACGCAATAAAAAAAGCAATACAAAAATCATTGGACACCGCAGTTCAGTCTTGTGGTCTGTTTATTGATCGCACACATCCATTTCTGGCAGCATCACCTCCATCTACCTATTACAGTAGACAAGAAATGTACTTAATCCAGGTATAAGCCTACCTGTTTATTGCTTTGCAAAAACTACCTAACTGTTTCCTCTTATTTTGACGGCATAAGATATTTTTATGACTCATTCAATTGTTACCATGTACCACATGACCCTTGTAAACATAGTTGTGTTTACTGACATGAATAAACGAATTGTAATTTGAGTTCTTGAATTTATTTTAAAAAAGATATCAAATTATTTGAATACATTTTTTCTTAGTCGGAACGCATAGTCGCGTCGCTTGTACTGGCAGCACGAAACAGTAGACGAATTTCTCCCAAAAACCGATTTGCACTTCATAGCTTATGTTTCATTTTTTATTATTTCCAAATGAAACTCTTGCAGCGTGCTAAAAGCAAAGTCCACAGGGTGCCACCGATCCACTTTTTCGATTTTATCCACCAGGATCTTTTTAAAATATCAAGAAGTTGAGCACAAATAGTAAGCATTTCAACCCACCATAATTCTTGCGCAAAGACAAAATTTATATCCAGAAAAACATTGCAATCAAATCTAGAAAACATTTTTTTTTTCATGAAAAGTTGAATAGGTGTGTTGATGTGTTTTTCAGAGTTCAAAGTACACTACAAGTGCTATTATAATCGGTTATCAAAAAGTAGTGCCGAACGGTTTTACACCCCAGGTCCAAAGAAAGATGCCTGTCTGTCATGTATGTTGCGCGCTACTCGCTAAATGCTGGAAAACATTTTTTTCATGAAAAGTTGAAGGTGTGAGTTAGTGTGTTTTTCAGGGTCAAAGTACACAACAAGAGCTATTATAATCGGTTATCAGAAAGTAGTGACGAACGGTTTTACACCCCAGGTCCAAAGAAAGAAGCCTGTCGTGTACGGTGCGCTTCACTCCTTGAAATTTATGAAAACATTTTTTTCAATAAAAGTTGGAGAGGTGCGTTGATGTGTTTCCAGGGTTCAAAGTACACAACAAGTGCTATTATAGTCAGTTATTAAAAAGTAGTGATAAACGGTTTTACACCCTAGCTAGAAAGAAAGAAGCATGCCGTGTACAGTTTGCGCTACTCCTGAAACCTAGGAAAAAATTTGTTTCATGTAAAGTTGAAGAGGTGTGTATAGCCTAGAGCTATTATAGCCGGTTATCAAAAAGTAGTGACAAGCGGGTTTATACCCCAGCTCCTAAGAAAGAAGCCTGTCGTGTACGGTGCGCGTCACTCCTTGAAATCTATGAAAACATTTTTTCAATAAAAGTTGAAGAGGTGCGTTGATGTGTTTCTCAGGGTTCAAAGTACACAACAAGTGCTATTATAATCAGTTATCAAAAAGTAGTTACAAACGGGTTTACATCCCAAGTAAAAAGAAATAGCTCTGTCGTGTTAATATTCTGAGATGGGTGTAAATGAGACATTTACCGGAAGATGGCGATACTGCGTCATATCCCACAGCCAAACCGAGGCCACTTCACAAACATTCATAAAGGTGGATCTGTCGCCTCGGCCAAATTTCATTGCCACCAAGATCATTGGACCTCCATCCACTTACTCGTATTTTTACTTCCCAGTAGGCCTGGAGAAGGCGAGGAAGTATTGTGATCGCGAAAATGTTTGATAATGAGGTATGTATTATGATTTTTATTTCCTACGCAACTGGGCGAGGAAGTATTGAAATCGTGAAAAATTTCTAAAATGAGATATTATGTTTTTTGGGTGTTTGACTACCTGTTTGTCGGTCAGTCCGGTAATGCATGGCGCGTCTATAACTTGAGAACTACCTCCCTGGATTGTGATGACAAAATAAAAACCATTCAAACTTCAATTTTGACGCTTCAGAGTGCGCTGACCATACTTGGAAAACAATTTAGGGGTAAAAATTGGGGTGTATCGTAATTTTTTGATGTTAGAATATTAATTCACTTCCAACCTCGGTAATTCTAGGCACCTATTGGACATATTTCACATAGATTTCTCGGTACATTTCCCCTTAAAACGAAAATATGTTCTCGTCTTAAGACGAAACAAAGTGAATACTCTTACGGTACATGTTTATTTCTGGGTTGTTCTTTACGGAGACTGCTCCAGCCACATTTCTGTCGCGCAGTTGTCCGTGTGGTCACTACCATGGTCTACAAAGTGATCATAGAAGATGCTCCCAGTACCCCTCCCCCCGCAAACATCCTCAGGAGGCTCCAGACACGACAGATTGGCATGTGCAGCTTTTGTGTCAAGAAGTATGTAATTTAAGTGATGAGACTGGCAACGTAGCTTTCGATCTGGCAACATTGAAGACGCCTAGCTTGAAGGGGAGACAGGCGAACATGTGATCCGCCTTCGCTTGAA